TCTGTGGAGGGAAGAGACAGAATTAAGATAAGAAATACACGGCATGTTGGAAGCTTAATAAAGAGACACATTTTAAGGGACCACCACACTTCGTGTTCCAAAGCCACTGCTTAGAAAATATTTTGCAGTCACATTAAACAACAACATGTATCGGTAACAAACAAACAATCTGTTTTAATTCTACTACAAAATGTGTAACTTTCAAACTGAAATATGTTCCTAAAAGGGAATTCTAAACACCAAAATCAAGACTCAAGATTTATTCGGTGCTTTCTGGTGGGGAAGCTTGGATCCGTACACGTTTCTTGCTGCGCAAGCACATGCAGCCCCCCCGATCCCATGGTGCTGGAATAAGTGTGTGTTTGTTTTGGGGAGCTGTGGAGAAGAGGGTGGGTGGGTCCTGAATCTAAAGTTAATAATATATTTATATATAAATGTTGGTGTCCCTTTAATATTTGAAATGTTTTTAAAAACGAAAGAATACTTTATATTTACATCCATCAGTAATGATATCATTCAGCTGCACTCGGATTAAATTATAATTGGCTTCCAATGGCCTTGATGATGACTCCAGTCAAGGTTTGTTTTTGATCGCATTGTCCAGGTAACGCTGCTGAAATTTTTAAAGAAAAACTGCATGTTTTGAAAAATAATCATCACACATAAATCATGTCAGCAAGCTAGATATTTTAGACGTTTGTAGTATTCCTTTACTCTCTCACTTGCAGCATTTGATTGCTACATACTATAGGACAGCAATTTTTACATCCTTCCCATCAAGCTGAAGCATTGATATGTTTCCAGCAAATCCTGATGGGTCTGGCATCCTGTGGGGCAACTGGTCAGACAGGGTACATGCCTTGTGGGTTGCAGAATGAATTGGCTTTGAGCAATAGTTAGAGGTTTACAGTTCGAAATGTGGAACTGTTCCCCCATCCCCCCCTCCATCATCAAACATGTATTGAAAGACTTTCCTTCACTGATCAGTGAGTAGGGCAGGAATTCAGAAAGAATTTAAGAAACAAAAGTAGAAAAACAAAGTAACTGTGTCGGTAATGTTACCATTCTGGTGTTACAGTTTGTATAGTTATAGACGGTAATGTTACCATTCTGGTGTTACAGTCTGTATAGTTATAGTCGGTAATGTTACCATTCTGGTGTTACAGTCTGTATAGTTATAGACGGTAATGTTACCATTCTGGTGTTACAGTTTGTGTAGTTATAGACGGTAATGTTACCATTCTGGTGTTACAGTCTGTATAGTTATAGACGGTAATGTTACCATTCTGGTGTTACAGTCTGTATAGTTATAGTCGGTAATGTTACCATTCTGGTGTTACAGTCTGTATAGTTATAGACGGTAATGTTACCATTCTGGTGTTACAGTCTGTGTAGTTATAGACGGTAATGTTACCATTCTGGTGTTACAGTCTGTATAGTTATAGACGGTAATGTTACCATTCTGGTGTTACAGTCTGTATAGTTATAGAAGGTAATGTTACCATTCTGGTGTTACAGTTTGTATAGTTATAGACGGTAATGTTACCATTCTGGTGTTACAGTCTGTATAGTTATAGAAGGTAATGTTACCATTATGGTGTTACAGTCTGTATAGTTAGAGACGGTAATGTTACCATTCTGGTGTTACAGTCTGTAAAGTTATAGACGGTAATGTTACCATTATGGTGTTACAGTTTGTATAGTTATAGACGGTAATGTTACCATTCTGGTGTTACAGTTTGTATAGTTATAGACGGTAATGTTACCATTCTGGTGTTACAGTTTGTATAGTTATAGACGGTAATGTTACCATTCTGGTGTTACAGTCTGTATAGTTATAGTCGGTAATGTTACCATTCTGGTGTTACAGTCTGTATAGTTAGAGACGGTAATGTTACCATTCTGGTGTTACAGTTTGTATAGTTATAGACGGTAATGTTACCATTCTGGTGTTACAGTCTGTATAGTTATAGAAGGTAATGTTACCATTCGGGTGTTACAGTCTGTATAGTTATAGACGGTAATGTTACCATTCTGGTGTTACAGTCTGTATATTTATAGAAGGTAATGTTACCATTCTGGTGTTACAGTTTGTATAGTTATAGTCGGTAATGTTACCATTCTGGTGTTACAGTTTGTAACGTTATAGATGGTAATGTTACCATTCTGGTGTTACAGTCTGTATAGTTAGAGACGGTAATGTTACCATTCTGGTGTTACAGTCTGTATAGTTATAGATGGTAATGTTACCATTCTGGTGTTACAGTCTGTATAGTTATAGAAGGTAATGTTACCATTCTGGTGTTACAGTCTGTATAGTTATAGACGGTAATGTTACCATTCTGGTGTTACAGTTTGTATAGTTATAGTCGGTAATGTTACCATTCTGGTGTTACAGTTTGTATAGTTATAGACGGTAATGTTACCATTCTGGTGTTACAGTCTGTATAGTTAGAGACGGTAATGTTACCATTCTGGTGTTACAGTCTGTATAGTTATAGAAGGTAATGTTACCATTCTGGTGTTACAGTGTATAGTTATAGACGGTAATGTTACCATTCTGGTGTTACAGTCGGTAATGTTACCATTCTGGTGTTACAGTCTGTATAGTTATAGACGGTAATGTTACCATTCTGGTGTTACAGTTGTATAGTTATAGTCGGTAATGTTACCATTCTGGTGTTACAGTCTGTATAGTTATAGTCGGTAATGTTACCATTCTGGTGTTACAGTCTGTATAGTTATAGACGGTAATGTTACCATTCTGGTGTTACAGTCTGTATAGTTATAGTCGGTAATGTTACCATTCTGGTGTTACAGTCTGTATAGTTATAGTCGGTAATGTTACCATTCTGGTGTTACAGTCTGTATAGTTAGAGACGGTAATGTTACCATTCTGGTGTTACAGTCTGTATAGTTATAGAAGGTAATGTTACCATTCTGGTGTTACAGTTGTATAGTTATAGTCGGTAATGTTACCATTCTGGTGTTACAGTTTGTATAGTTAGAGACGGTAATGTTACCATTCTGGTGTTACAGTCTGTATAGTTAGAGACGGTAATGTTACCATTCTGGTGTTACAGTCTGTATAGTTATAGACGGTAATGTTACCATTCTGGTGTTACAGTTTGTATAGTTATAGACGGTAATGTTACCATTCTGGTGTTACAGTCTGTATAGTTATAGACGGTAATGTTACCATTCTGGTGTTACAGTTTGTATAGTTATAGACGGTAATGTTACCATTCTGGTGTTACAGTCTGTATAGTTATAGAAGGTAATGTTACCATTCTGGTGTTACAGTCTGTATAGTTATAGACGGTAATGTTACCATTCTGGTGTTACAGTTTGTATAGTTATAGTCGGTAATGTTACCATTCTGGTGTTACAGTCTGTATAGTTATAGACGGTAATGTTACCATTCTGGTGTTACAGTCTGTATAGTTATAGTCGGTAATGTTACCATTCTGGTGTTACAGTTTGTATAGTTATAGTCGGTAATGTTACCATTCTGGTGTTACAGTCTGTATAGTTATAGACGGTAATGTTACCATTCTGGTGTTACAGTCTGTATAGTTATAGACGGTAATGTTACCATTCTGGTGTTACAGTCAGTCGGTAATGTTACCATAAAATGTAACTTTGCATGCTTGTTATCATCTGGTGTTACATGTTGTATAGAATAGTCGGAAAGTTACCTCACAGTGTTACATTTGTATAGTAAGAGATAGTACATGCTTCACCATTCATTTATCTACAGTCTGTATAAGTATAGACTCTGCCGTGTGTGTGTGTACATGTCTGTGTGTGTGTGTGTGTGTACATGTCTGTGTGTGTGTGTGTGTACATGTCTGTGTGTGTGTTTACATGTCTGTGTGTGTGTGTACATGTCTGTGTGTGTGTGTGTGTGTACATGTCTGTGTGTGTGTGTACATGTCTGTGTGTGTGTGTACATGTCTGTCTGTGTGTGTGTCTGTGTGTGTTTTTCCATGGAAGCCGCATGCATCACTAGAAAGTAAAGTACAAATAATACACATTTTTATTATTTTATTTATATTTCCAATGATATGCTATTCAACATTTTAAATCAGGCAAATGAAAACCTGCCTTAGATGCAGTATTCATTGTGTGTAAACATCTCCATCATGTAAAATATGTGAACCCCACAAATGACATTCCCTTTATACAGCGGCGTATTTAATGTCCGTGACAGTCCGTCCTCGTGCACTTTGCTCCTAAGCCTTTATTTGCACTTGACACAATTACGAGGCTGTTAATGGCTCCGGACCCAGATAGCTTTCTCAGTCTAAGAAATCAGATTTGGCGGATGGCTGAGTGTGTGTTTTATCAGACTCTTCTGTAAAGTGTCCGTTATGTTGCTAATTTACAGAGCTGTGAAAGAATGTATAATTATTATCCAACTATCCGTCACCTTTCTCAGGTCCATAATCTGCCCTGTTCACTAGACATGCGCACTCGTTATCGAACAAATCAGATTTAATCTGAAATACGCCCAGAATTCAGAGGCTTCTGGTCTCGGCAGCACATTCCTCGCTTTTTAGATTATTTTGTTTTTGCTTTTTGCGCTCAGCTGTTTAGTAGACAGGTCATTAATTTCGTATCAAATCCTTACGGGAAATTGCTTTAATTAATTCACTTGAATTTGGGCTGATCGTATGAATTCCTGAACTCCAGAAAATAGATGGTTGATGGGAAAAAATGATGATTGAAGGTTAGCGACAGTCAATAAATGTTAATTTTAATCATGAGACATGATCAATAGAGGGGAAAAAACTGTAAAAAATTATAGCTATATATTTAATAAACACACAAATATAGTTTTGTCTTTCTTATATGTATTTGTTTTGTTTTGTTTTTCTGCTTTAATTCTTTTTCCCACTATTGGTGACTTTTGGTGACTTTTTCTCACTTGGTCTGTAACGCAGGAGAATGTTCCTATCAGTGTGCTGCAATATAGATATTATTTATATTATGAACATGTTTAGTAGTGGCCGTATTGTCCCATGTCGCACCCTTTTGGTTCATCTGTTTTGTTTTCCCAAATCGTTTTCGTTAACGACATTTTAAAGAGCCGAACCTCAATGTGGCCAAACATCGTCCATTCCGATTTTTGAATGAAGTGGCTCAGACAAAACATTTTTTTCACAACTCTAGAAGGAGCATAAATCACTAATTAAGGCATCGTTTGTGATCCCTTACTGATCCATGACTTGATATCCCTCATGTACCCTATGCATGTGATGCACTGCAGGGCAGCATTCTTCCTGTAATCCCCATCAGTACTGAGAACTCATACGTTGTCTGGAAAACATTGTGTCAATCCCAGCTATGTACGATTCCTGGCTGACCAAGTTTGATGAAAACTCAACCAAATCAGTCAAAGAATTTCAAACTGTGTATTAAATTATAGCAATTTTGCAGCAAAAATGATTTCAAAATTGCAGCAATTTGGAGTTTAAAGACCAGCCTTATTCTAAAAAATGTTTTTTTAAAAAACCTACATCTGTTGATTCCTTATTTTAAACCCCAAAGAGCTGCTGGCTCTTAGTGTAAATCCTGCTGTATTCAGATCTGCCTGAAGCTCAGGGGAATTCTATATTATAAAGGAAGGCATTGCTCCTTAAATGGACACTAAAGTCCACCGGATCTCAATGAAGTGTTCTGAATGCAGCCGCCATGTTCTCTTAGCCTTGCATTGTCAAACATTGCAGTTTGTTAATCCCTTCCGCTAGTGGCTGTCGTCCTGAAAGACTGTAGAGGCGCTTGCGGGGCGCTGAAGGCATAAAACCCGTTAATGTGACTCAGAAGTCTATAAGAAAGCAATAAGCATACGATTGGACCATCACGGAGGAGGCCGCGTCTCCTCGATGACATCATGGGAGGCGGAGAGGTGAGCAGCGCCCGAAGGAGTCTGTGCTGGAAAAAGATGAAAAACTTTTGATTGATTTTTAGGCCAGAGATTGGGGGGTGGAGGGGAGATTGATTTCCTAAAGGAACACTCCATTTAAAAAAGCAAAATATGTGTGTTTATTATTTAGTAGTAAGAAAACATGCCTTGGTGTGACGTTTAAACATGTTACGGACAACTTCGACTTTTACGTTTTGACAGCGGGTATTTTTCCTGCATGGTATTCTTGGAATGAGGTGAAAGAATCAGCTCACTGGGAGCTGTATGCATTGAGCTAAGTCTGGTGATGGTTGAGAGTGGAGCGTGGGACTCTCTGTCAGAGGTAGTGGATACAGGGATCGGCACCAGGTGGACCCCAGGTTACGATTGTGGTGGCAACAGGGCATTTGTACTGGTTTTAGTTCTTGGAGTATTCTTTTAAAAGAACTGAAAGTATTACATTTATTTTCCTATTTGACTTTAAATACACATTATTTGAGTACCATAGCTGCTAGGTTCATTTTTATTTTAATTACTATTTTAATGTTTCTGACGGTATTTGGACCTCTACATGGCCAGTTACTTTCCTAAATGTGTCTTCATGGCATTCATTCTGCTGACAGTTAAAACAGATGTCATACAAGACCGGGGGATGGAGTTACTGGCTCAATGTATCATCAAAGAGCTGCTTCTGATTGAAGAGTGTCCTGAAGTACCCGGGTAGAATTTAAAAGGCTTTACTGAGCACAGTGAATGTATTACGAAGAGATTTAAACAGTAACAACAATAACAAGGAAATGATTCACCTATTTACAATACATATACATTGCGCTCTAATGAAACCCGTGTTTAGAATGTAAGGGTTTCTTTAGGTGGCCGTGCTCCCTCTTACTGTGAGAAGTCATTTCAGCTTATCAGATTTAACAGAGTTTTACTTACCTTCCAGTGAGCTATAGACAGTTCAAAACCAAATGGCAACCTATTGGCTGAAATCACTGATTTGGTAATATTCTACAACTTCACTATAGTCACTGCTTGACTATTTTCAGTAATTGATTAAATACTGGATTTTGTACATCTCAAAATGACCGAATTTTTGCCGGAATGGCAATTCGGTCAAGCCGATCAAATCGGCAGAATGCATTCGGGGTCTGGATTAAAAACAGTGCTCTTCACATCCGAATCCTATACAAAGTACATTAATCAAATTATTCACAAAACACAGAGTTTAAAATTAAAAAAATAAATAAATCAGATCCGAATGCAGCTCTTTGATGATACATTGTGTCTGAGTCAGTAAATCAAAAACTCAATGAAAACAAACAATATATCCATCATCGTTACATGAGTGTAGCGATACTTGCTGTAGCAGAGCCTTAGTCCTAGCAGGGACTCTCCTCCGTTAAGTACTCCAAGATATACTCGGGAACAAGTAAAACACTCCAAGGGAACAGCCAAACACGGTAAAATAATCCAGGAATCTCCCACCTTATCCCCAGCTACTGGACCAAACTCCGCTCTGGGGGTAAACCTGATTTTTATTGTCACATACGCGGCTTTTATGCCCAGTTCCATGCAAGGGAAAATGCAAGGGTTTCAATCCCAGGATCCCTTGTGCCTGAGAGATAATTGCCTGAGTAAACTCTTCCAATGTAATTATCTCTCAAGCACAAAAAATCCCAAAAATATCCCGTACCCCAAAAGTCCCCCAAACATACATACGAACCCCACAAAAAGTACATATTTCCTGATAGTCCCGATCTGAGTGACCAACATATCCAAGAATCACTCAGATCGGTTAGGTAAAACAGGAATGGCATCGTGTGGAAGTTTTGTATCTCCTGAAAGTCGTTCGTGTAGGTGGTCGGGAACAGGAATGGGCAGCGGTCGACAGTTTACTGGTGTTTGTTCAAGTGCCAAGCCGAAAATAGTTCCAGGCACTCAGCGACCAAGTACCGCTGCCCTTGTCCGGGAGCCATTTTTCCAGCCTCGTGTTCTGTTATACGAAATGGCGGCCACCCAGGAGAGCATTCATTAATTGTTTCCCTAAAGGTTTTGCACTTAAGTGGTTGGTGTTAATGTTCTAATGGGGTACAGGGGTGGTCCTTGTATGGGAAACGAATGGATTCCATTCGTATGAAGTCTCACAAACGGCCAAAGAAGAACCACAAGAAATAACAGGCAAAACACACAAAATAACAGGGGGAAAGATACGGACAAAGGTTCATTCTGCTACACTTACCTTCTCCATGCCAAGTAGCTCCACATGGCTGAAGATCTGCGGATAATCATCTGCATATGGTGTTTGGACACTCACTTTGTGGGTATCCTTTTTACTGAGTGTAATGGGTAACGGCTTCCGTGACAATGAGAGCTCCACGCAGACTAAGATTCAAGGCTTTTATAAAGGTCCTTAAGCCAACCAATCAGAATGATCTGACAGACAAGTCTCAGCTGAAATTTGGACCAAATTCAGACTCATTTGGAGCCTTGTCTGCATTTGCTGCCATTCTTATATAGTGTGAACCATGTCCAGACTTTGCAGTTTTAGCCATTCTTTAAGGGTCCATTTGGACTTTAGTGAATAAATTTGATAGTCTAATAGGTGTCCTAATCAATCCGCTGTTTACTGAAAAAAGTGTTTAGGTTTAATCCTTTAGATTGTAAGCTCTTTGTACTAGTGATTCAATGATAAAGATTTTACCCCCTTCCTCTCAGTGAGTCGGTAGTGGGGGGTGAACATGAAATGTGGGGGAGGGGGGGGAAATGGACATGAAATATGGGGGGAATGGACATGAAATATGGGTGGGATATGAAATATGGGGAATGGACATGAAATATGGGGAATGGACATGAAATATGGGGGGGATATGAAATATGGGGGAATGGACATGAAATATGGGGGGAATGAAATATGGGGGGAATGGACATGAAATATGGGGGGGATATGAAATATGGGGGAATGGACATGAAATATGGGTGGGATATGAAATATGGGGGGATAAGAAATATGGCTGGAATGGATATGAAATATGGGGGGAATGAACGCTAAAACCCGAGGTCATTGAAGAATTTAAGTCCATAACACCTCCTGTGTGATGTCTTCTTCTCTAGAGCATACAGATGAGGAATCCATATTAGTCTGTTGGGGTCCTGACTACTTTACCGACGACAATTTGGTTGAAGCAACATTTTGATTTAGTTTCTGTTGTAAAAATTCCAGTGTACCTCGTACTTTGTGTAAAAATGTTTGCTTAGATTTGTTACAGTTAAAACAGCTTATTTATTTTAAATGGTTTTATTTTAAGTTTAAAAATGTTAAATGTTTGTTTACATTGCTAAATACTTATTTAATAAAAAAAAGTTTGTTTTTTTAAATGTTTGTATTGATATTTATATGCGTGCGGGTCTGTGTATGTATGCAGAGTGTATTTGTATATGTGTGTGTGTTTGTGTATGTATGTATGCAGAGTGTATATGTATATGTGTGTATGTGTATGTATGTGTGCGTGTGTATGTGTGCGTGTGTGTGTGTGCTTTCGGCTGCGCAGGCCTATGATAATGTGCTATCACTTTGTGTTACACAAATAGCCAACAATAACTTCTCATATCTTCGCTCTCTTCGTCTTTCCCAACGCACGGCCACTGGTTGCCTGAATAAAAGGCCTCGGCTTGCAAGTTGATGTAAATTTCGAGTCTGTTTCAATACAGACTGTCTGATAAATGTTCGCTGAACTGGAATCTGAGTCTGCTCCTGTCACATGCAGGAATCAGGGTTTTAACCCTCACAGACCTTGTTAGGCCTGACGCAGGTCACGGAGAAAGGTTACGGCGTTTTCGTTCTCCAGCAGCCTAAACAGAAACACAGAATGCTGGGAATCAAGTCTGAAACTTGAAACCATGCGAATTCATAATGTATATCTCCTGAAATTCAAATCAAATTATTTTTCTGAATTTTGGGACAAACTGCATTTTTTTTGTGGTTTTGAAATAATTGGCTATTTTTTTTTATTTGGTTACCCCTGAAATTTACTTTAAGTCTTTTCTCTTTATTTTCTTTTTGCAGGTAATAAAGTATTCTGCATTTTTAGCTATGTGGGAGAAGAATGTTTGTTTTTTATTTACTGTACACAAATACTTTCTGATATTTTGTAACAGACCGGTTAGGTGACCCCATTCAATATCTTTTAAAATAGATTCTACAGGACGATCCAAACGGAAAGGGAATGGCGGCTTTGTGTGTAAAACCCATTCAGCAGGAGAGCGTTCAGATCATTGGCACAGACAGAGGAGATATCATTCACATAACAAGAGCCTC